GAATTACAATATAATGAGTAATGAATGAAACTATCTAATTGTTGTTGATAAGTATCTGTTATTTTTCTTTTCTTTCGAAAGACTCACTAATAAAACAACAATTGGAATACTGTAATGACCTCTTCAGTAGGCCAATAGTATAAGCAAATCGAACAGGTGTGCCTCCTTGTATACAAGGTAATTTGGCAACTTCAGTTACCATTAGGGGGTAATGACATAAAAGATTTTATTTTTTATCTGCTGTGAGTAGGGTATAGATGCTGATGAGGTGGAGGTCTTTAGGTCCCACAGCTACACACATGCATTATATCCATACCCATATATATAACAACAAATGATGCTTTATATATGTATAACGGCAATCGGCTTACTTATCTATCCGTAAATACTAACAAATATTATAGTTAGTTGAAAATGTCTAAAACAATTTTTTTTTCATGTTGTTACCCCCCAATGGTAACTCCAGTTGCCATTTTATGTCGTAGTCTCTTGTGGATGTGAGTGTGAAAATTTTGAAATGTATTTTATTCAATAGCAGCAAGTGTCATCAATATTTATCACATAACATATCATCAAAAATATATATATTGCTCATCGACAAATAAACAATTAAAAGAAAAGATGTCCTTTTTTTCTGTAATAATTTCATAACTATCTTTGTTGTAAGTCCTATATATATTGGAGATGGAACAATGATACAAAATGTTTGTTTTTTGTCAATTAGTAGCTCAGAGAATTTTCTACACATAATGTGTAAGGAATTTTTTAATGTCCTACATTCTGCATTTTGCAATGTTTCTAAAAATAGCAATTCTACTTCGCAGTGGGGGGTAAAAGGTTAATAAACGATGCAAAAGTCATTGAAAGAATGTTGGAATCTATTTCTCAACAAAAAAAACATATCGGATTAACTTCGATGTTCTGTTTGTTTGAAAAAGCAAAGTTTCAAGAATATATACATCAAATAAAACAATCTTTCAGAATATCTATTTTTATTATAGTTTCCATTCTCGATTTCGGTGGGGAACGCTAAAAAATCGTTGTTGAAGGACACTAGGTTAAGGCGATCACTTTTCAGTTCATATATCTCTAAGTTTCGTGTTCCTATTCGGTTCACTTTTTGTTACTCATGACTGTATACCATAACAAGATTTCTATTATAAAAAAACCAAATCTATTATTCTTTTTAGCAGATTTATTACACAAAACTTTTATTCCACAACAGTAATAGATATGAGAATTTATTTAAAATATAAGTTCTAGAAACTACTATTTAAATTAATTTCATAAGCATTTTTTTATAGTAATGGAGGAGTATTTGGTTCGTTATTTGGTACTCCAATTATCAATCCACCACAGTCAGCTATTCTTGGTATGCATGGAATATTTGATCGACCTGTAACTAGTAATGGCAAAGTATGTAACATTTATTTGCGTTTGTTTTTTTTAATTTTTTTCTTCTTTTTTTTTATTAGATAGAAATTCGTCCGATGATGTATGTGGCACTTACATATGATCATCGTATTTTAGATGGTCGTGATGCTGTTCTATTTCTACGAAAAATTAAGCAATATGTAGAAGATTCTCGTACTATTTTTCTCGATATTTAAAGATCTAATTTCTATATATTATATTCTATTCATGATTTGTTTTTTAATGTATCGTGAAGTCTTTCAGGTCTATTAGTTTATTCAACGTTTTAATTTTTTTTATTCATGTGAATATTTCAATCTATCATATGATACTTGCACAAAAATTCTTTGTTTTTTTGTGCAGGTTATTTTTATACAAGAAAACAAAAGATTAATCAAGAATATTCTTCTTTGTCTTTGTTTTATTGTTTTGCTTTTTTTTTCAACAGTTAATCAAAGGTGTATGAGAAAAGAAAGAAAGAAAAAGTAAATGAGAAGACGGTGTAATGTGAGATAGATAGAATGTTTGTGGTCATTGATTGGGTTTTATATTTGAGCGGACATTCATTTGATTGCCTTGAAGCGTGCAGTAAAGCATACATACAATTGATGTGATTTCATCTTCTTTGTATCGTTCTCTTTCTTTTTTTTTTCTTTTGTGGTTTCTACTGGATACATGTTGATAGGAGTGTACATAGAAGTAAAGCAAGAAGAGAGGGAGAGAGAGAGAAATGTTGATCATCTCTTTTCTGTTGCCTGTCATTGCCGTAAGGGGTTAAGTACAATATTCGGTTTTCTTTCATTTCACTTGAACACCTGATGGCTGTTGGTAATGGTAGTTAGTCAGTGTTGTCAGCTACAGCGTATTCACTATGTTCGGCCATCATTATCATTATCGTCGATGTTTTTCATTGAAACGAACGAGTGAATTTGCTCAACATTGGTTTCGTGAACGCACATCAACCTTATCGCGTCGACATCAATCTCTCAAACGTGATACTTCATCGACTATCGATATCAGTCAGAAGGTAGTTTTGTTGTTATTGTTGATAGTTGAATGATTGACATTAAGAATACGTGTATATAATGATGTTTCTATACATATCTATTGATAAAGTAGATAAACAAAAGTTTTAAAGTGATTTGTATTTGTAGAACATTGGCCATAGAATGGCCAAAAAAAACTATGATCTTCTATTTAAACTATTATTAATTGGTGATAGTGGTGTTGGCAAAGTGAGTAATTTACAATAAAAAAAAGAATAATATGATGAATTATTTTCATTGATTTTTGTATTTTTAGACATGTATTTTATTTCGATTTTCTGATGATTCATTTAATTCTTCATTTATTTCCACCATCGGTATTGATTTTAAAATAAAAACAATCGAACTTAATGGACGAAAGATTAAATTACAGATATGGTAAGATGATCATTCGTATCTATAAGCTATAAACAGATTTTATTAAATCTCAAAACAATAAAAAGAAAGAACCTATATAATAGAGTCATGCATTTTCTAAATAATCTTAAAACAAATAATAATGTGTAGTTATTAAAAAGGAAGCAATAACAATAGACTTATATATGAATATGTATTGGAAAAACGAGACTGATAAAGATAGTCATCTGTACCGGTATATCATGTTACATGTTATATAATCAAATTTTATTAGTAGAACTTATAAATTTATATTCAATATTTACAGAAATAGTTTTTTTTTCTTTAGGGATACTGCCGGTCAAGAACGATTTCACACAATTACAAGTAAGATGCATTGAAATTTGTTTTAATAAAAGTATCTTTTTTTTTTCAATATATTGCCTATTTAACTCTCAGATCCTGTCAGCCCTGAAGAGATATACAACTAGTATACAAAGAGATCACGTTATGAAGGATAAAACATACAGACAAAGACTGTAAGATGTGAGGAAACAATGTTAAAAACCACGATGTTAAAAGCTTTCGAAGCACTACAAAACGTAGAGTGTCGTTTTTATCTAGCGATACTATTGAGTCTTCCCTGCTGTGCCATGTCATCCATCTTATAGTCAATACAAACACATCCATATGGTGTATGAAACATTTTGACCTTCCTAGACAACAAATGTTGAGTTACCTTCATAACATATGGTTCTGTGAGCATTTAATATAATTGCTCTAGTAACAGTCGTCAATCGAGTGATTTAAACAGAATTTTAAGATATTTTTTCCAACAGGTATAACATACGTAGCTCAGAGAATATTCATCATAAGTACATGTACAGAAGAAATCATCTCCATATTTGCAATGCAATATTCATTTAAGACACATATATAGTGACAGTGATGAAGTCTAGACTATTGACAATTGATGGACAATTGGTAGAGAAAGAATAACTACGTAAAAAAAAATAGAACAAATCTATAAAACAAAACTATTGATGAAGTATCACTAAACTTCATTGAATTGACTAATCATTATTTGTTGATGGATTCGAAGACAAGCTAGCCCAATCATGTTCTCTCATCCTAACTTTTTTTTGTTAATCAGTAATCAAGATACTGAAATGATGAAATTTATTCGATAGTGAAGCTTTCACATTGAAGTAGCGGTACATCGAATACAAACAGGGTATGATAGTCTGCAGACAGAAAACATAGTCCGTACTATTGAAATAATTCATGGGTTGCATCCGTCAATATCGAATATACTTTTGATATAATTTTAGCATCATATTATCGTGGAGCAACAGGAATCATGCTTGTTTATGATGTAACACAAGCTAGATCATTTGAAAATATTAATAAATGGCTACGTAATATTGATGATCATGCATCCGATGACGTTGTTAAAATGCTTATCGGTAATAAATGTGACATGGACGATAAACGTTGTATTAATCGAGCACGTGGTGAAGCATTGGCACGTGAACATGCAATACCATTTCTTGAGACATCAGCAAAAAATAATATTAATATAGAAAAAGCTTTCTTCGAAATATCACGACTTATATTAAACAAAACTCCATTAAGTTCATCTGAACCGACAACTGGAGGATCGATCGGTGTATTGCAAGGAAATAAACAAACGAATCAATCGAACTGTATGAATTGCATGTAAAACAAACCGAATGGTTATATCAATCAATCAGTCACAAAGTAGAAAAAATTTATTTGTCGTTAACGTCGCATTTTTTTCCTCTTTATCTGTTATTGATTCTATTCTTTCTCTCTCTCTTTAAACAGGCGTGATCGCATGTGTAATTTTCTTTTTTTTTTGTTGGACGGTATTTGAATATATTGAATTAAAAAAATAATACATTCACAGAGGGAGATGATGAATAAATTGGAGTAAATATCGATATTGATACTGTGTTACTGGTATCTATTAGAAATTCAAATATATATCCTGATAACTATGATTGTATGATTAATATCAAGTTATACGTAATTCTCATGAAATTAAGAATTATAAGTGATCTTATATTGGTTAATTTTCATGTAGATTATGATAATTATACAAAATGATAATTTCAATGATTTTGAAATAGATTATATGATGTACATTTGCAATCATTTAAAAAAAAACAAGGAATATATATATTAAGAAATCGGTCTAATTTGTACCATTGATCGACGAAGATAAAGTTTAATAATATTTCTGATATCACGATCGAGTATAAGTGTAACAATTTTTTCAATTGCTACTGTAAACGATACTGTAACAATACCCATTCCGTAAAGAAAACGAATATTAGTTAGTAAATAAAGTATTGTTGGTATAGCACCTAATGTATATATAGCAAATAAAATCATTATATTGCATAAAACTTCAAGATCACGATTTGAACGTCTTCTTGCTGTTACTATAAATACTCTGTATCTAGGATGTTTCATACAAATGTAAATATAAATATATATAGCAAATATTAATATTGCTGGAATTAAATAATAAGCAAGAACAGTATATATTACATGTAAAGTATATTTTTTTGGTACCCAACAAAGAGTAAATGGACGATAATGAATGTCATCAGTAAGAAGTGCTGGTAATGGTATTAATACAACTATAATCCATTGAATAAAAATAAGACTAATATGAGTTTTAAATGAAGTAATCCATGGATATTTAGTTGAAAGAATTGAAAAAAAAAACGTGATGTAGCTTGAATTAAATAAGAATAAATAACAGCTGCAACTGCCATATAGCCAAAAAATCCACGCCATCGACATGATGTATCATTTATTTCCCATCGAATAAATAAAAGAAAAACATAGTTAACACATTGTACTATACAATAGAATATCGAGGAAATCGACGTATTACAAATTAATAGATGTGTTACTGTATGCAAACGTTTTATATATATAACTAAGGTTAATATTAAGCATGCAACTATAAAAGCTACTAAAACAGCAACCAACGATACGGGAATAATTATTTGATAACTCTTCAATTCTTTCAATGATTCCATTGTTGTTGAATGTATTTTATTGTATTTCTTTTATCATTAAAAAGATAAACTTGCAAAAGATTGGAACAAAAATCTTTCTTTTTCAAATGAATTTCATTATACTGATTCCAAATGTTTGAACTATGTTATAATTTATTCTCTTTTTTTATATCTAGCAAATTCTTCATCTTCACAATGGCATAAAAATCAATATTCTCTTTTTACTCAATGCCTATATTGCCAGAAAAGTTATTTTCTTTTAACTGTTGAACATATTTTTATCAATTTTTATGATTTATTAACTGACAGATATATTACGAGCCAATAGAATATATCTAAGTGAAACGCACTTTCATCGAACATAGCTGTAATCTTTTATTATATTATGTCGAGACATATTTTGATCATTTTTTTGAATAAAAACTGTGTATTGGAAGTAATTCTTCATGTTGTATCTAATCGACAGTATTGATATAAATAATAAAAATTACTTTTATCTGGCTTAGTGACATAACAAACATTAAAATTTATGGCATTATGTTTTTGCAGATCTACAAAAAAAAATCCTTCAGAACTGATTATTTTCATTCTAATTGAATTGAATAAATCTAATCAAGTTGTATTAATAGAAAAAATTATGCTTTACATAATGTGCTGTCTGCTGAATATTTGGAAAAAGAGAAATGAGCAAATGAGTAGTCATTGCAACGATCAAGGGATTGTCAGAACTAGGGGTGGCACTTTAACTTTATTTTACTTTAATAAAGTAAAGTAAAGTAAAGTGAAGTATCTCTAACTTTACCGAACAAGTAAGAAGTAAAAGAAGATAAAGTAAAGTATGTAGTTGATGGTTATTGATTTATTAGTTTATAATCAGACATTAATCACATTCTAATACATCAAAAGTTGTGTCGAATTACAGATCGAAGGCTCCGAAAAATTTGAGGGTGTGGGTGTGGATACGGATGTACGTCTGGTCGAACTGAAGACTCACCCATATCTACCCAACCCCACCCACACCCACCCACACACTAAGCCAAAGACTATCTTTCAAAAAAATAAGCATTATGATCGTCACTGTCTTGAATTCTCATCAAGAACAATTGCTTTTTCAAATATTTTAGGAATATTATTTTCATCACAATGTAATAAAAAAAATAAAAATCATATTCAATCAATAATAAAGAATACTTTTTCTCATAAGGATTTTTCTTATATCAATTGATACTATGACTTTTTTCTGATAAATTCTTGGAATTATAATTTATTCCCTAGGAGGAAAAAATTCTTCTAAAAATTTCCTTTTTTTCATAAAAAGCGATAAATAACTTGACGGTAACGTTCTTGAAGTAGGTCGTATCCTATAAACTCATAAGCTTGTCTCAATAAATCACAAAAATGAATAATTTTCGCTCGTTTACTTTTTAAGTCAAACTGATCATTAAAAAAAAGAATATCTTTTAAATTTTGATCAATATTTAAAAATACATCTTTATCTGCCAATATGTCAAGTAATTCACCAAAAGCAAAGATTTGTAGTTTTATTATAATAAATATACTGTAATAATTTTAAAAAAATTCTTTTATTTTCTCAGAAATCCAAAATTAACTTTCCCAGTGATTTTCTTTTCCTTTTAGATTTTTAAAAATCTTGTCGA